AAATAATTATTTTACTCTGTGTAGTGTAAGTAGTATAGTTTTCTTATGATGTGTAGTCTGGCGTCTGAAAATGGAGCAAAATAGCCTCCCCAAGTTTATTCTTGAGGCAGTTGAAGAGGTCAAGGAAGATCTATTACCTTCAAAGTTCAAGAGACACTATGAAAAAACATATAAGGACTTTATTTCCTGGTGTGCCCCTGGTGTCAATGAGCAGCAGTACTTTGTAGAAAAAACTGTCCTGGCATATAATGAAAAATGCTATTAAAAAGAGCCATCCACCCTATGGAGCTGTTTCTCAATGTTGAAGGCAATTTCAATTCGAAAGTAGATTGAATTTATTATTATTGATTATTCCATTATTCTTATTAATTGAAATAAAGCTTGTTTTGTTGAACAAAGTTGGTATTTTTTGGAATAAGCAATAGAAATGCAAAAAGTTTAATAAATTGAGTCGAATTCTTGCTTATTTTTGAAATTTTAGAACTTTCAGGCCCGCGGGCATAAAAGGCGCCCTAGGGCGTAAAAGTACTACTTCACGCTCTAAAAGGCGGGCGTAAAAGTGCACTTTTACGCCCGTTCGTGCATAAATAACTATTTAGGCAATTTGAGATATGGAAAGGCCTTTGCATAGATTGCTGATATTTTGTTGCCTAGCAAGGATTTTGATACAGGATTGTCAAATCTAAAAGAGGTGTTTCGAGCATTAGCTGGTCATGGTTTGTCAAAATGTCAAATTTTTTTCAATGAAAGGGTCGAATATTTAGATCATAAAGTTTCTAAAGACGGAGTGCAGCCAGGAAAAAGCAAAACTGAAGCAGATAATAATTTTCCTATCTCTTCAGATGTGGGTCTTGGTGGTTATGTCAGGAGGTACGTGAGGAACTTTGCTACAGTCGCTAGGCCTCTAACCTCTCTGTCATGCTTCAATTTTTATTAGGTTTTTAAAAAATTGTGCACATTTACTTGACTATTCTATTTTATTTTCATTATCTGTGTTGTGGATCACGAATCTAACCCCAAATTAACGTGAGTATTTTTTGATTTAGGTAGAAGATCGACTAGGGAAATGCTACGAGGACGTGGAAAACGGTAGCATGAAGCATGGCCGACTATGAAAACACGCCGTCACTGGTCAGCTCCGCCACTGTGCTCCACGTCAGTGTTAAGGAAAGGAAGGTGACGCGACTCGGACTGGTGGGGAAGTTTTGACAAGGAGGATGATAGAGAGGACATGGTCACGCATGGTTCCATAAGTTTGCGTTATCTTATGGTTGTTTTATTGAATTAAAAGGGTGAAGTTTACATTTCAACATTTTTATACTTACTAAGTCACATTTGAAGATAACTTTCTAAAAACTTTGAAAACTCGTATCCTCAATTGTATCATACATAGAAATCTGAACTACATGGAGTGAATTTTTCAATTTTTCCTACGGCCTTGTTTCATAGATTTTGGCTTGAAATCTCGCAATAATCTACCTTATGGAGTTTGGGGGGACCCAAATGAGCATTTAAAGTCAAAGTTTCAACTTGAAAAAATTTAAAATTTCAACATTTTTGTACTAAGATAACTTTGAAAATAACTTTCTAGAAACTTTGAAATGAAATCTTTTTCTACTGGAATTTTTTCCATACAGTTTGAATGAACAAAACTCTAGCTAGGTATTCACTCAAAACTTCAGTTAATTAATTCATGATGATTCAAATTCTCCAATGAAAAAGTATCCATTTCCATTAACTTGCAAATAAATAATCGCCTTAAATCCAATCTCGAAAAATATTCTCTTTCGAGCCTCGAATAATGATTTTTCTCAATTTGCTTTGTTTGCTTTTATTATTTCAAATCGAATACCGAAACTTTCCGTAACGGATTCTATTAGCATAAACTTGAAAGTCCAATTTCGCTGGACACTGTATTTCATCCATAAATTTAAATCAATTTGCCGCAGATTATCCTATAAACGACGTTCCTTGTTATGAATAACCAACAATAATTGTTATTTTACTTACCAGTATTAGTGCAAGCTGAAACATGTCTCATCCCTACAAAATCGTCCCTTTTATGGTAATATCTTAATGCACCCGTCTCGCTATAAATTCGTAAATAATTTCGCCTTTAAACACATGGCCCAACAGAAAATAAATCATTGGCTCTATGGCTCACTCAACCCTGCTGGGGACATTTTATTAGATGGCTTCATATTTATGCAGTGAGCTGTGCCGCAACAATATAAATTACCCTTTTCCTTTGATAAATAAAATGCAACACGATGACGAGGCCCTTTTACCTTTATTGTAATTTTCGTTAAAATAACTACCTACTACTGCAAGTTAATAATGAAGTTTTATTGTTGATGCAAAAATGTCTCGTTTTGCCGTAATGTTTTGAGGAATTTAATATAGGAGTTTGGCAGAAATCATGTAATTTGATTTAGTTTATAATGCAGTATTGTCATAAAAATATCTCGACGGAGTGAAGAATTTAATCATCAAACACAGTGGAAGCGTTTGAGTCTACAAGTCAAATAGAAGACAACGAAGCTCAGAAAACCACCTGATAAACAAATAATGTCATTGAAAAAATAGGTAGTTCAGAGAATTGTAGCATTTTCCTCTGGGACTCAAAGGAGAAGTTGAGAAAAGCTTCCATGTTTCAAATATTGGAAGACGGCATTCAGGAGCTGCTGGAGGAAAACCTTCAACCCTCTTCATTAGAGATCTTATTGAAGATATCCAGCCTGGAACTCCAACATCAATAATTCGAATGGAGTAGGTAGGAACACAGGAGCAAGAAAAGTCATTAGAATCGGACATAGGACATAAACGGAACGCTAAGAAAGAGTTGGCAAGGCAAAAAAATGAAACCTGGGATAAGCGATACGGAGAGATCGAAAGATATTTGGGAGGCTCAAGGGTGGCAGCAGCATAGAAAGTTATAAAGAATGCGAGCTAAGGTAGAAAGGACGTAGCGAATGGCCAGTTAATTTCTATGGAAGAATAGACTGACTACTATACAAGAAGCTGCTGACAGAGGAAAGAGAACAATTGGAGGGATTGGGGAAGATGAAGCAAATCATGTGGGAGCCATAACGAAGAAAGAGGTGAGAAGAAATGTACAAGATATAAAAAATGGAGTCTCCGGGGCTAGGAAACATTCCTATCGAGCTAGTCAATCGTGATGGAAATTCTAGCAGATATACAGGTACAACGATCTGTTACTAAGAGGGCACACTATACCTGCAAACTAGAATATCTCACCCATAAGTTCCATCCACAAAAAAGGAGATCAAAAAACTTCTGGAAACTAAACAGGAATAAGTATGAACAGTTCTTTGGGAAGGTTGTACGGCTGTATTTAAAAAAAAAAAAAAAAATTGAAATGGAATTTTCAGGCATAGAAGAGCAGAATTGCATTCGTGGGGGACATTCATGGATGCATGGCACTTTCACATTACAAAAAATCATGCATAAAGGAAAGCTCAAAATCTGTCCACACACCTAATATTTGTAGAACTCGAGAAGGCCTACGATACAGTGCCCTTCAGAAAACTTATCGAAGTTTTGACAAAGACTAACCTCAGTAGAGAGTACACAAGACCCACTAGAAACATTTATAAAAAACTACAAAGTATTGTAAAAGAAGGGAATCAAGCTTCAGAAAGTTTTAAAATTACAAAAGCTAAAGCAAGGTTGCTGTTTATCACCTGCACCGTTCACGATATACATTCAGGAGGCCTTGAAGAACTAGAGTAATGAGTACTCTGGTATGAAAATAGAAGTGGGAAAATATTACTTGCCCAAACTTTTCTTTGCAGACGATCAGGTAGTACCTACTAGCTAGCTGTGAAGAGGACCTGGATTACATGTATAGAAAACTTAAGGACAATTATGAACACTGGAGAATGAAAATAAACCAAACCAAGATAGAATATCTTTTAATTGGAAATGATAATGAAGACCCGGATCTTAGCTTAAGAGATCTGAAAAAGTGTAAGGAGTACAAATACTTGGGAAGCTTGATATCAACAGAGGGAAAATCAGAGGGAGATATAAATACCAGAGTAACACAATGCAGTGGGAACAGACTTTTCCAGGCGGGCATGTAGAGTTCCAGGACTGAAGCATATACAGAACGCTGAAATTCGAAGAACAGGAAGAATGCTCATGGTATCGTCATGTTATGAGAATGGAGGAAATGGTTAGAAAAGAGAGCTTTGATGTACGTTCCATGGAACAGGTGGAGATATAGATAACAGATAAAAAGATGCGGGATGCAGCAGAAGGCTGTAAAATCCCCGCGGCGATGATGATGAGAATCCGACTCTTATTTAGAATCCCTCAGAAGACTTTCAAGTAGAACATTGAACCTCAGTCGGAACAAGAAATCAAAGCCACTTGAGAAGTAGACCTAGATAAACCATACAAGTGATGAGAACATTGCAGGCTAAATCAGCCCAGCGCAAGATGAAGTTAAGAACAGTAGATGAATACCTGAAGGATACCATAGAGAAAACCGCTCTTAATGGAAAATGGAGAGGATTACATTAATCTTCAGGAAATTCAAATGATATTCGAAGGTCAAATTGATAGTCTCTGATAATGCTATTGAACAGCACCCAAGGACTGCTTGAATTTAGTCCATTTTCCTCAGTTCTAGCCTCAAATCTAGCCTTCTAGACAAGGTATCGGAAAATGTAAGATTGCACTGAAGAGCTGGTGTTGAATCCAAAAGATTAACTGGAGATCAGTTGCAAATACTAATAGGCAAGCAATATCTTTTGAATTTGACAGAATTCAGGAGAAATGGTTTGTTTGTCTTACATTCAGTTGAAAAGTGGATACACTTAATGGTTGTTTTTGTGGCTGTAATTATGATTATTTTCTGACATTAACTAGGAAAATAGCTTATTAAATTTCCAATTTCAATTACCGTTGTGAGTTTCAAAATAAACTACTTAACTAACGTTCAATTATTATTTCCATTCAAAATCATCACTTACCAAAACATAAACAGCAAAAGGCATAACAACAACAGCAACTAGAAGATCGGCTAACGCTAAGCTAACAATAAAATAGTTTGTGGCAGTCTGCAAAGTTCGTTCTCTATAAACACTCAGTATAACTAGCACATTACCAAACAGTGTTAATATCGGTACTATCAATAACACTAAAGCCCAATAGTTTCTGTACGTGTTACCACCGCTGAAGCCTGTTGAACATGTCAAGTTCGAAACGTTGCCAAATAAGCTACAGTTCAACTGATGCTGTACGTAAACAGGAAAGTCTGTGAATGTGATGTTCGATACATTTAATTTGCTAAAATATTGATCAATGTCATCTTGCAGAAGCATATAGTGTTCAGGTAAAACATCATAATCTGTCAAATTATCTGTTGATGCTGCGATGCTGGAATTGTTAAACCAAAATCTCATGGCCATTTTCGTAACAATAATTTTTCTCACTCAGCTTTGGACTATTTACACTTAAAATTAAACTTATAAATATTTTTGTCGGAAAATCTACATTTTGAGGTGTACGAAAGTCGCATGTTGCGTGACCGAGAACGCGATCGCGAATGAGGGTCTTACGGAAACGGGGGTGCGATGGGGACGGTGTCGAGCGCCGTTCTGAATTTTTGGGAGTGAGACGCGAAACGACGTCGGCGTCGAAAAAGACGAGAGTCAGGCGCCGCCCTGTCTCCCGCAACGGCTGACAGAGGCGTCCATATCCAGCATCCAACAAAAATATAGAAACTTTTCCAGAAATAGTCGTCGAATTAGATGGATTCATCCAGGAATTAAGGCGGCAAATAAAATGGCGAAATCCAGCGGATTCAACGCCGCCTTGATGAAAAATCCCGACACAAAAAAGATCGTCATTTACGCCCTGTTAAAAGGACTTTAATGATACCGTTCAAGAAACTCTAGAATCTGAGAAGTCCAATTATTCTTCTCGTTCTAGATCTGAACGTTCTAGTCGAGTCAACGACCCCCTATGGATGGAGAATCAGTTGATTGTGTTATATCATACATTAGCGTACTTTTAATTATTATCTGTTTAAAAGGATACCTGATGTGGACATCGAGTTTAAATGATAATTGGCTGTGATAATTAGTAAAACGTTGTCAATTTTTAAGATTTGTACAGAAGTTCCTATTAAAATATCTGTCATCAAAAGATAACAAACACAAAATTATTAAAATTGCTAATATTGAAAATTCGTAATCCTTATCCTCAAAACCCCTACCTACCAATTTTGAACCAAGTCGTCCAACTTGCATAGTACCCCCTACCACTATCCTTGGCGCACGGGAATATGGAAACTTAGTAAAAACCGGAACTATAAACGAGCACCAAATTTCAAGTCACTCGGACGACAAGAAGAAGTCAATCAAAACCATTGGTCAAATTTTTTATCTTGTATAAGAGCACGTTGGATATACCAACCTCACATTCATGTCTTATTTTTCTGTCCTCTCTGTGGAAGTGTAAATAAAAATATTAATTATTATTATTATTTTTTTTTGTTCGCCTTACTTACGGTCCAGCGTCTCCGACTAAAGCCTAGTACTCATAACTGCGAAATTCGCATTTTTTTGACATTGCGTTGACAATTTGACGTTTAATGCGCGTATCAAACGTCAAATTGTCGAATCAATGTCAAAAAAAAGCGAAATTCGTAGTTATGAGTACCTACTAGGCTTAACACAGGTAAAAATGTTCCGCATCGTGTACTCTCAGTAGACGCAACGATCCCAAGATGACTGGTTTCTGCATCGTGCCATCCAGTTGTTCTGCCTTATCACGGCAGACTGGCAAGGTCTTGAGAGCTGAGAGCAGTGTTTGACTGTATAGCCCCGGTACATTCGGCGGACAAAGAGAAGATACTAATAGTTCGGCCGTTTCTCTTCCTCCTTGGTTATGATGTTCATCTCGGCAGTAGCCGAGTTCTCAATGGCATACAGAATTTTCTCATTTTCTTCAAGGAGTACTATATCCGGCTTGGTAGCGTTTACAAGCCGGAGGGTGGGGAATGCGAAATTCTAGTATATTCTAGTTCTGTCATTCTCCACTACGGACGGAATATCAGAAGGGACATATGACTGCACCGCAAGCAGACAGCAAATGATACAAGGTCTCCGGCGCCCTACGGCAGGCCCTACAACTTGTGCCAGGAACCTGTATATCCATCAGGCGACTTCGGTGTTCCAAAGTGTTGGTGGCAAGCAATGATAAGCCCCTCAGTTTCGACTTCAATGCACTAGACCTTAGAATGCAAAGCTGGATAAGCCAGTGTTTTCAATGGTTTTAAAGAAAGCACTGTGCAATGTCTTATCTATACAGTGAGGACATAAAGTCCGTCGCCCCCCCTCTAACTTTTGAACCGCTCGGTATGTTGCAACAAAATTTGAAATGATGATATGTGGCCAAATTCTTCATCTTCTGAAAAACAAATGACAGCTTCGCGCAGTTTTGAAACATTTTTTCAAATAGAAGGCGGTGTCGAGTGATAAATCGTTTTAAAGATCTCTTTATTCTTAATTTGATCCCCGATTCTGAAAACATTTGTTTTCCGAAATTCCCTTCGCCCGCCGAATTAGATTTTGTTTGAGAGTCACTTACATCCGTATCCATTCGCAGCACTGCTGCTTGATTGTCTGCAACAGTCTTTCGTTCAGTGTGTGGTAGGTCCGTCGCAGGTTGGCGGCTTTGTGGCATACTTTTGACGTAAAAGGCCTGCCTGCCAAGTTAAATTCCAGCACACACTGTATACGAGATGCGTGCTGCTTTGCTGAGAGAATTTTTGCTTCCATCTTTTTCGATCGGCGTTACGCCCTTTCAACGCAGGGGTCCCTGTTGAGCAACCTGGGCGACACGAAGCGAGCAGCCTCGTAGATGGCGCAATTATTGCAACAGATGTCAGCTTCTTCTGTTAGAGCATTTAACAGTCCTTCGTTCGCTCAAGCTAGGTCTTGTGGTTTCGGGCGCTTAGTTTTGTGGAACCCCTACGGTCCCGGAGTCTCTCTGCTGATGCTACGGGCAGCGCCTCTCCAGCCATATGTATCTGCGGTTCCTGTTCTTCAGATACTGCCGGCTGTTGAGGCCCTCTAACATATTCCCTTCGCGGAAGGTAAGATACATAGTCTCACAGGCCCTGAGGAGTAAATTATCATGCTCAGGATGCATACCATTCTACAGCTCAAGCATACGAGCCATATATCCGCTTCGACCTGGGCTGCTACTCTCATACCATTTCAGCAAATCATTGGTCAACTCAAAGCTCCTCCTTGTTCGTTGCGATCGATGATCGTCATCGGGCAATCCATCCGGTTGGGCCACTCTACCTTGCCTGTCACCCCTCATCCGATGGGGTCGGTTGTGGGGGCCCTCTAGTTCCTCTGCGTTTGGAACCGAGTTAAGGGACTAGTAGGAGGTTACCCTGGCCAGCCCCCGGTCGACATTTAGGAACGGCAGACTTTCGTCCTTGCGGGTCACCTGCGTCGCAGTTTGCCGATCCGATTTGACCCTGGTAGCTGGGGAAGAGGGGGGTGTATTCCAATACAACTTGAATTTGATATTTTCAAGAACTTTTGGCTCGTATTTGTAGTACTCTACGGCATTACAAATGAGTTCTGCAGTGAGAACGATGGCTTGGTGGTAAATTTTTCCCATTTCATCGTGCCGCTTGAGATACTGCCTAGGAGCTAGCTGTAAGCATCCCGCATTATATGTTGGATACTTTCTGTTGTTCTCTTACATTTTCTACATAGCATAGCATTACCTGATCCTGGATTGCCATCAATGATCTGTTTCTGGAAGAAGGTACCCGGCTTTAAGGAAAGTATTCGACAAAGGTTTCACTAATGTGTTTTTGCTTTTGGCTTTAGGTTTGCGGCAAATCTTTCATGAAAGTTTACCACACCACTGCAGTTCGAGTTCGGCTAAAAATATCACTGAGCTAGGAGCTTCCCCAGCCAGATTCAGTGCCGAGAATTTGGTGTCTGTTCTAACTAAGGATCTATGAAGAGGTAAGTCAGAGCGCTCGAAGTATCTCCGGAGTTTAGAAATTTGGTAGCCGCAAGTCATCTCAAGGTTATGCAATCCTCTTCCGCCCTGGGCTCTGGGAAGATACAGACGATTTACTTCAGCTTTTGGGTGGTGATAGCCGTATTTAGGGAGAAGTGTCCTTACATTGCTCTTATATCTGTTAGTACCTACCCACTTAACTATGCCAAACGCGTACATGTCTGTGGGGATGCACCAGCTGTTTAGAGCTTGAATTAGGTTTTAAGACACTAGATGAGTTGCGAGAACCATTCACTCACTCTCTCCGTAAATTTGTTTTGGAATATATTTTTCACTTCTTTTTGTTTAATGCACACACCTACTCTGTTGGATACCGAGATACTTGTAGGATGCATTTGGTTCTATAGAAGGTATTATTGTACCATCCATTAAGTTCAGATTTTTATGCTCTGTTAATTTCCCCCTACTTATATGGAGTACCTACACCACATTTTTCAATTCCCTTTTACATCGCTTAACGATTTAACTGTTCAAGTTGACTCTGTAGTTGGTCTGAGTTTGACGAGTAGGTAGAGTTTGAGGTCATCCATATATAGGAAATGTGTTATTTCGACATGTATATCCTTGTCTTTTATTTAATAAATAGCTGAGTGGATAGAGCGCCGGCCAAACAGAACCAGAGGAGACTTAAGGAGTCCCCTGGAAGATATGTTTGCAATTATTTTCCTGTCAGTGTGCACTTTGTGTGTCCCATATGATTGTTACATCTTCTCTTTCTATTACAGGGTTCGGGGTGTGCTGGTACCACTTCTCGCTTACCTCTATCTTAAAGTATTGTCAGATATGCATTTTCTAAGAAATTCTAGAGAATAAGTATTTAAACCGCATCCTGTTACGATGGTCCGTTTTCGAGTTAGGGCGGTTTAAAGTTACAACTAAGTGTTTGTGACGTCACACTGAATTATCAGGCACAGTATTAACACGTGTAAAAATTTTCCAAAACAAAAGACAATTAATCATCTCACTAGAGCGAATTGCGACCACTCAACGGGTACGGTTCACTGACGACTGAACGAACAGAAGACTGCGATTTCGGTGGTTGTGACGTATAATTCCTGCATAATTTATCTTCACAAGAAATTTTCTTGGAAACTATTTTGAATATAGGACTGCGGTTTTCACGATAGATCTTGGATTTTTTTTCTTGATTCAAGTAGCTTGAGTCGTTTTTTAGGATCACACCCCCTTTATAAAGACGTCTTTGAGTTTCTTTTTAATACATAAGCCATTATCCACTTTTAGGTCCGGTTGTTCCAAATAGTGTGGCGCAGTTGTCTTAAAAATGTGAATTTACATCTTATGGACGACTTTTTTGGTTTTCAGTCGTTCGACGCAATCCAGACCTAAAAAGAGACTTAGTCTTTTAGACTTTGTGTGCTGTCTGGGATCTTCCTCTTTTATTTAAATTCATTGATTTAAAGGTTCTGAAATGTTACCTGATTTTGTTCTAATACTAAACAGGTGATTAGAATTCCGTCGAATTTTTTCTTCTGTTCTTGTAGAGGGTTTAAAATATTTCTAACTGGTATTCCAACAATTTCTATTCTCTGATGGCGAATCTACTAATCATGTGCATTATATTTTCCTTACTATATTCTTACAAAAATATTCAAAAGTCAATTAAACCCTCGATAATATTCCATAGTCAATCCACTTCACATTATAGTCATTGCAATAGATGATTATAGTATACTCTAAAGTCTCAATTTTTCTACGTGTACTTACAATTTTTTCCTAATTTCACTAAATTATTCTATAGAGCACGCACATAATGTCGTTTAACCGTTTTGAATTTTGTTTCTTTCACGACTTCTTTACTTTTCAAATTTTTCATGGACAAAATTAATGTCAGACATAAGAACTTCAGAAACCTGCATACAGCGCTGGTTAATGAAATGAAAAAAATAACCCACATATATCAAATACAACATCAACAATACCGAGATCTCAGAAGTCGCAGAACATAGGGACCTGGGAGTGATAATAACGGACAGCCTGAAATAGGAATGTCATTTAGCTCAAATGGTGGAAAAAGCGAACACTGTGATATACCTAAGTGGGAGAGGTTTCAGCGACAAATCTGTAGAATTAATAAGAAAAATCTGTGTCCTTCATTCGCCCAAAGCTACATCAAAGATATACAGGGTGTCCCAGTCCCAGAGAAAGCAGTCCATCCCGATTTATTGGATTTGGAATGAATATCTACAAAAACGCTCGGAACGTCGATTTTTGATTTGAGGGGGAACTATTTTTCAGTTTTTTTTTTTTTCATCCCCGTAGCTTTAACGCCCAGCTGGAAGGGGAACAACCGCCAAATCCCCAAATTTGAATAGGGAATAAGGGTCGTGTCATACCTCTTTTTAAAGGTATTATCGAGTTTTTTATGGCCCCAGAATTTCGTCTTATTATTTTCATCCGTAACGTAATGACAGCTTATCAAAATCTTGGAAGCAGACTATATACGATACTTACCGCCCTTGATAAAAATACTTGAAATTGAAGTTTTTTATTATTATTTTTATTAATTAGAATTAGGTAAGCACGTGAATTGTAAATTGTAAGTGTATTTTTATTCAGGGAGGTAAGTACCGCTTTTACTCCTACTAAAACAATAGTCTATTTCCAAAATTTTGACAAGCTTTCATTTCGTTACGGATAAAAATAATGAAACGAAATTCTAGGGCCATAAAGAACTCGCTGAGACCTTTAAACAAAGGTATGACACGACCCACGATCCCTATCCCCTTTTCAAATTTGGGGGGGTTGTTCTCCCTCTAGCTAGGGGGTTGAAGCTACGGGGATGAATAAAACTGAAAAATATCTTTTCGTCAAATCAAAAATCGGCGTGTCTGAGCGTTTTTCCAGATTTTCATTTTAAATCGGAAAAATTGGGTGGACTGTTTTCCCTGGGACTAGCCTAGTCCATAAATATATCATGATGTACCAATACACTGTCTTTTTCAACTAGTTTATCATGGAAAATTTCTACAGACAGGACCAACCTACCAGACACAGAAAGTAATAAGACGAATTAGCTTGTATCGGTTTAAGGCGAATCGAATCGGTGCTGCCTACGGTCGTTGGCAGGGAGAGGGGCAAAGGGGCATTTGCCCCCTTCCCCCAAAGGCCTTTAAATTTTGATAATATGTAATTTAAAATTAAAATAAACAAAAAAATCAATTAATCATATATTATAAGTAACGTTCTACTATAAATTCTTATCAAAATTTGTTGAAATGGCCGCATCCTCACTTCTATGGTGGGAGCAACACCATAGAATAAGTCCCAAAAATATCGTAAAAAGACTCAAAAATTTCTGTATAATTATTCTACTTATTGCCCCCATGGTTCCGGCGCCTATGGCTCCGCCCCCATAGCAAATTCACTAGGGCGGGCGGCTTGAGCTCCCATCGCCCCCATGGTTCCGGCTCCTGTGTGGTTTTTGAAGATGAATAATACCAATTTTCAATCAGATTTTGAAAAAAATCAATATGGATGATTGAGAATGACTGCTGACTGATTTTGGGCCAAAATATAATAATAATAATAATACTGCAGTCTAAAGTATTGAATAATACAGTCTAAATTATTGAAATAAATGGAGCTTTCCGACGAAATTAAAGATCAATGGCAGTTGAACAAGGTGACGGTTGTATCAATATTCATATCCACCACTGGGATTGTACCTGACTCGTTAGTCAAAAATCTCACTGCTCTAGGACTAACAAAACACTTGTTTGCTGAGATAAAAAAGTCAGTAATTTTAAACACCTGTCGCATAGTCCGCATGAAATGTGAGAAAAGCGAGAAAAAAAAGAAAAAACATAATAATGATAATACCGTACACTTCAAAAAAGAAGCCCTAGAAAAAGAGAATACAATCACAAATAACGGAGATGAGACGGTACCTCTCACATCTCAGAGTCTCAACATAACCAAACCTTAAAGACAAGATGATGCAACGGAACGGAAGGAATAAGATTTGTACAAAAAGTATGAAATGAAGAAGCATAAACCATAATGCAACCGCCCCATGGATTCAACAGGAATATGACAAGACTGCTAACATCGACATAATGAAATGGGATAACATAACACTTTAGAACTTCAATAAGCCATTTAGAACGTTACAAAATACTTTCCAGCAGCAACAATTTAAAAACCTCAGATTATTTCACCGAACCTAGCGTTTGGAATAGACAAAAATTGAAAGGTATAAATGAGTAATAATAACGAAAGATTAGTCCTGAAGACGTCTTTAGGCATACGTTTAAGAGACGTTGGGTTCTGTAACATACGAGGTCTTCAAGATGTCTTGAAGACGCCTTGAAAACGTAAGCAGACGTCTGGAATGTCGTTTGTGGGCATCTTACGGACGTCTTAAAGATGTTTATGTGCTGTCTGGAATGTTATATGATCCATAAATGTTCTTTTAATTCATATTATCTGTTCAATGTTACCTGATATAGTCACCAAGTTCAAGATTTTTAATAAAAGTTCTTATTAAAATATACAAGATATCGCAATAGAATGTTCGTAAGTATCTAAGTGGCTATATTATTAGCTAGATAATTTCATTAAGTAGTCTCGACACGAAATTTCCAGATTCCAGATTGAAGCAAAATGTCTCATATCGTCTCAAAGCCAAATCGATTTAACACCTCCTACATACTGATCAAATTATCCCACCGTGCGACTTTATACGACTTCTTCCAATACCAAAAGCTGAAAAGGAAACCTTTTGATTCTTAGCCGAGACGCTAGTGAAAATTACAAAGTTTCTATTTGAAAAAAAAAACTGCCTTTTTCATCGCGGTTTATTGTCAGACCTAAACATAATTTAAAGTCAGTCATGAAAACAATAATTAGTATCCTCTTGGCAAAAACGGAGTGGTTTTTCAAAGAAAATTCTCGCATTTGTACAAGTATTTCAGGCACTGAAGGGAACACTCCAAGTTTTCATTAATAGCCTCTCTCACGTAACACGCGTATTTGTTTGTCCTCTTGAAAGCACCTAAAAAGACATTTAAATATTTTTTTTTATAATTTAATATTGAAAACAGACTATTCACAAATCCGAAAAAACTCATCCTATCTGGCTTTTTTGGTGTTGATTTGTATGTATCTGAAATTGACAGTGATTGAAATAATGATTTTCCAAGGCAAATTACTCACCGAAATACGCTGATTTTAATGCCTCCTCCTGACCTGAAATAATTTCAAAATGAATTTCCTAGTTGATGAGTCATGAAACTAATTAACAAAGAAACTTGTTACGAAACTTTAAAGGGAGACATCTTGTTGTACAACATAGAACAAGGAATTTAATTTTAACTTCTAGATAAAGTGTTTCTTTTGTCTTATTTTGTTTATTATTACTTATACAAAGGGATGAAATATATATATCATTTCCTGTCCACATAATGTTTCATCCCTTATTGGAAATTCCAGTAAATCTCAATGTATATAACGTTGTGGTCGGTATATGGTCGGTATCTAAACCAGATTAGTCCCCGGGGACGGTTTTCTTGTTATCGCATAAATCTATGCAGATCTTGTTCCCGCTTTGCTTTTAACAAATAGGATCAATTATTTCAATCTCAATAGAACTGTCTATGAATATTTTTGTGCAGCTCTCTAGGTCATTTTATATTATGAATAATCCTTTAGGAATTATTTGTAAATTTACTAAAAATTTATGCAATGAAAGATCACTTCATCTATCAATTTACAGTTGCAAAATCCTAGCGATTTTAATGGGAATAGTTAACAAATCAAAAACTTACCAAGGCGCACTGAATCTAATAACACTTTCTTCATATCATCCTCCTTTTGAACAATAGAAACAGTTTCAATTAATATGATAGAAACCACTAATAGTATGTTTTGTGGCGACATAAATAATCTCAATTTCATCATTATGTATATTCATTCCAGATTTTTAATTTGCTACCGTCGGTGCATTTTACCGAAAATTTATGATTTCGTTCTGTTTCTGCTGGCCGAGATAAAAGAGCTGTAAAAATAAACTATAACAAATTAAAATTTTAAGCAAAAATGCATAATTTTTATCGCGTCAGACGATAAAATTGTAACTGAATCATATACCACGTCTTTATTATAGTCAACTGCCGAGGTTTTATGGGGTAGATTGTGAAAATCGTGAAAACGGTTCGTGCTTTATCACAATGTTATTTTTAAATATAAATACCCACTCTACAAACTTTATAGCCAAATACGAGGGGAAAAATTTAAAACGAAAACTACAAAAATTAACGTTTATTAAATAAATACATAAATAACAAAATTTATCACAAAGTAATTAGTTTCAAAATTGTTGATATAACTCGTTCACCGTGATCGTTGTGCATTAAATCCAACAAGGGATCTTTAATTTTTTCTTCTAGAAGATTATAAAGCTCCACTCTAATCATTTTAATCATTTCTGCAATCTAAAAAAACAAGCATTTTTATCAAAAGAATACAATTTAAGTTTTTGTACCTTATGCTCTTCAACTTGAAACAAAATCCATCCATCCTCCATAGTCAAAAACGTATTACCATTTTGAACCATAATATCTAAATCGCCCGAAAACAATACCAACGGAATAATCGGCACCATAGTACAATCCCTAAAGAAAACTTTACTGGTCCGCACTTTTTCTTGGTAAACCATGTAAGGACTGGGGAAATTTTTCACAATGTAATTGACCGAACTCGGGTGCATAAAAACCTAAATAAGACGCCATGTAAGACAAATTGAGTTAGATTAACTTCTTACCATTTCCTTGGGAGTGGCAAACTTGATGTCTTTGGCCTCGTTTTCCTTTGGCACCGCTCCAACCGAACTCTGTATAAAGGTTTTCGAGGGCGTCAGAATTTTCACGATGTTCGGATACAGGGCGGCGCAAAGTACTGATGCTAATAGTCTCAAGTTCTCACCGTTAACATTCAACTAGAAAATAATGGATCATTGTTGAATCTAACCTTTGATAAATAACATCAGGATCACAAACTCTAAAATTAGTTAAGCGGATTGTAGGCACTTAACTAGAATCCAGAGTAAAATGGCGAATTTAACGTCACAACTTTTCAATGAGTTTTCACTGATTCCAATCGAGAGGTAAACCGCAAGTCAGTCTTTGTACACCTGGTTGGGATTTTAGGGAAAATCATGGATGATTTCTTCTGATTACCAGTAAGATTGTTCATGAGGTCCCCTGATGACAACGTCAAATTATATTCAAAAACTCTAAAATTCTCTTTTTTGAGAAGCTACAGTTTTTAAAATCTTGAAGTATCCAAATTTATAAGATTTCTTATTGTCTTTAGTTTCTACTTTAAATTCTTCAAAATTCCGGGTCATTTTTTTTTGCAGATCTTGAATTCAGCAAATTTTCAAGATGCCTTGTTGAATTTCTTCAAATACCTACTCTGGAATCTTTAAAATTCTGTCTTAGTTCGCTTTTGAGAAAAGTCTACAGTTCCGAAAACTTGTTATCTTTATTCAAAACTCTAAAATGTTTTTATTAATGAATGAATCATTCACGAACCTCAAACGTTCCGACGTAACTGGACACGAAAAGCCGATTGGGTCAAACAACTTATGAGTTATGTATAAAATAATTCGTTTTGTTACCTGTCGTATATCGAGTTTATCAAAAAATTGTAGTGAAAGTTCGAAAGTGTCTAAATTTCTGTTCCAAACAAGTCCAAGATTGTTGCTTCTTTCTTCAACTTCGACATACTCTGATAAAGAATACTCCCACCCTCTAAGTTCAGATTTATCATCAGTCAAAATTGACGTACTGTTCGATGAATTGGTTGAGAGTCTTTATCTGATACACTTGCTAGAACGTTGTCAACGTAAAAAGAGTTCAATAATTTTAAAATAACATCACGATTGTAGATTACTTCTCCGCGTTCTGATTTTTCAAAAGTTTCTACCAATACCTAACTACTCCTAATAGAAAAGCACTGCATGATACTCCAAATACCACTCGTGTATGTCTTAAATTTTTAAGTTGTCGTTTTTATCATACCACAGGAACTTAACAAATTTCGGCCACTTTCTTGTAAGCTGATCTGAAGAAATGCCTTTTTTATATCATCAGTTACTACAATCTTCTCTGTTCGCAAACGTAAAATCATCATTATCAATTCAATAAGATTGATACCCTTTTCCAAACACTGATTCAGAGATGGTTGACTTTTTTCTCTTGATGACGCATCAAAAACAGGTCGTACTGGTGTTGTGGCACTACTAGGTTTGTAAACTGGATGGTTCGGCAAAAAATGACCAGACTGAAAGAAAATTTCAAAAGGTTCGTTATTATCTGGTAATGGTTCTATCACTCCATCTATTAACCAATTATCAAAGACATCATAAACATTGTAAAGATTATCTTTTTTCAAGCCACGGCACACTCACTTCATATCGTTTATTATATTTTTGCTTCACTGTTGACAAAAAATGTTCCATGACCAATGCTTCTTGTTTCTTTTGAGATTTGTTTTTTACAGGATCTTGAATTCCAAGAACATCTAAGTTCCATAAGTTAGGTAGGTCAAAATCTTTTGAAAACAAAGAAGTGACAAGTAACGATGTTTTCGTTTTGTAAGTTGGCTTCAGTTTACCTATAAGCGTCCAACCTAGTAATGTATGAACTGCGACCCATCCATACTCTAAATCATTATTACGTCCCGAAAATAGCTTTCCAGTCACATCAGCGCCTACCAATACATCGATAAGTCCATTCATAGTATCTGTTATCTCGATCCCCATTTCTTTTACTTGACCTAACCAGGGTCCTTCTGTAACGGAACTAATATCAGTAGCTGATTCAAAACTTCAAAATTACAACAGTAATTTTCAGTTAGACTATACAAACGAACCTTGTAGCATACGTGATTTACAGTTTCAGCTTGACTTCCTCCGAACAGTGAGTGAACTAGCTGTTCCTCTCTAATCGGTTTGTAGTCTACTTCTTCAGCCAACTTTTTTGTTATTTAGGTATGACTTGTATCGATAAGAAGTTTTACTCTACGTGATTCTCTCTCTCCTCTCAATTCAACAACCATGGTTTGCAGAAATACTTCGGGATAGGTGAGGTTACTGAGATTTTGTTCACTGGTTTTGGAGTTTTCGTCTTTTGCATTCGTGTCATTGAAGTTTGAGGACTTAACATTTTCTTTCGGACATATAACTTTGCAATGTTTTCCTTGACAGGTAGTACATTTTGCTTCTAAACGACACCTCCGGAAATCATGGCCAAAACGAGTACAGGAATGACAACAAGCAGCATCTGACAACTTCTGTTTTCGTTCGGCAAAAGTGAATTTCAAGGCTTCTCCACAGTGCGGTCAGAAAAATGTAATCCTTTACAGAAAACACATCGTGGGGTTCTTTTATTAAATAAATCAGACGCTGTTGGAGCAGTATTACTACTTATGTGTTTATCTTCAGGCTTCCCTCTATCTTTAAAACTGGATACAGCAAGAGAAATTCTGTCTTCATTCACCACTTCTTGTCTAAGAAAATCCATTAAGGTGTCAAGACGCTCGTTTAAACTAGATGCGCCTGAGTAAAACTGACTTCGGTACCAAGCTTGTATCAGATCTTCTCTGAACAGGACTCTACTAACGGATAAAACATCACAGCACAAGCATCGGATTGTATTCCTGAACTTTCTAGGGCTGTTAACTGAGACTCTTTGAAAATCTATTTTTTGCATTGAGATTTGTTAAAACCCTCTCAAGAAGTTCTTTGTCATAAACTTCTATCAAAAGATCTTCTCTTCCAAATCTCTGTTTCAGACTGTCAACTGCTTTAGCATAGTTACCTTTAGTAGCCAGGTAACTCTCAACCAGGTTTCTAGCTCGAGAACCTGGAGTCGTAAATATTGCAGCTTATCCTCATCTTCTATGTCAGAATCTTCATCAATTCGACTAAATTGGTTCCAAAAACTAAGCCAACTCTTGATAAGTTTTAGTTTGGATTTAGATCCTGATTTCTGAGAGCTTGTATCTACCTTAGACTTTTTTTCAAAATTAAATTTTATTTTGTGGTATCTAAAGTTCAACTCATCCATGAATTCTACTGCAGAATTCATACTTGCTTCCTCATCGACTGAGTTTAACATAAAGTCGAACATAAGTTGTTTCAATTCGTTCAACTGAAGCATTTCATCATCCAAAGCTGTAATACTACTATGTAATTCACTTAACTTTCTTTGGACATTTCATCTTCGACTTTATCACAGAACCTTGTAAAAGCTGTCCGATGTAATTCTAGGGCTTTCTTGATTTTCTCCATACTTGCAATATTTCGATAATGCCTTTTATCCTCAGAGTCCTCCTCTATCAAGTATAGTTACACCTTTGCAGCAAGAGCCGATACTACTTCCAAAAATACTTTTATCTACGACTATTTAATAATAGCCGCGTTTTGCTCGTGATAGTAACCACATAATGTAACTTATATTACACATCTGTGGAATAAGAATCTCATATTCCACACTCGTGGAATATAAATTTTTATACGTATTCCATAACATGACAGCATAAAATAGAATCGAGCTTGTTTGGATTGTTGTTACTAGGGCAACTAAAATATTTGATTTTGACAAAATATATTAGGCCCGAATTCACCAATGCGTAAAACTCTGATTTAAGATCTTAAACGCAGTTTCGGCTACAAATGGAATTCACCATATGCCTAAATCCGTAGTTTGTTCCTAAAACTACTGTCAGGAGCAAAACGGCTGTTCATTGGGCGTTTACGGATTAAAACGACGTTTTACCGTAGTGCGTGACAGAAAATGAAAATACTTTGGTACATTTGGTGCATCGTCTTCTGTTCTGTTTGTTTTCTTTTTTTTTGTGTAGGTAAGTAATGGAAAATACTAATTTCGGCAATGAATTCTGCAAAGTGCAATTGCTTCCACAAGCAAAAATATTCTTTCCACGGGCTGAAATATTCCTACTCTCATCCTTTTTTTTGGTATCCCTAGTACTGATGAGCCACATACTTTAGGATAATTAACAACAATACAAATTAACTTGTCACGACACCAACAACAATAAATTTTGAGTGAAACTTGACGACATGAATTTTCTCGTCTTTTTTCTTCTATTTCGTGCTATGCTATGTAAAAACAAAATTCCATGCACCCCTCCAGAAATTCGTGCAGCCGCACAAGTAGCATTACTTCCAGAGAAATCAAGGAAAAATTACAAAATTGTGTATACATCTTTGTAGACTGGCGACTAAAGAATGGCACCAACTCATTTTCCGAAGATATCTGATATATTTTTTTTGCGAATCTGCAAATTATTACCTATTATTAGTGTAACAACGCAATTCAAGATGTTCTGTGAAGATGCCTTTAAAGACTGACATCATGTCATTGTTCGGGCAGGTAGTGACGTTTTGTCAAAAAGCCCTATGAAGTTAAAAACCACTTAAAAACATCAAGTCTGTGTTATCAAGGGGTACCTGAGCAACGAGGAAATGTTTGAAGGCAGTTGTTTCTCTGGGTTGTTCTCACCACAGGTTCTCACACACCTCACAGTTCTGGAGAAGTCACCTACAGTCACCTATTACCTATGCCTATTACGAGCGAACGCCGACTATTATTTTTCATTATCGTTATAGAGCAGCGGTGGGATAGTGCTTACGACTTTCCGTGCGAGATTTGGGTGTTATCAGTTACGTTGTTTTAGTGCATATTGTTAAAGAAAACATAAACATTTTGCATAAAACACTTAATATGACGTATCGAACTGTTTTGCGCAAAATATAATTAGGGTGTATAAAGGGTGTGGAAATGGGGATCAATTTAAAAGACGATAAGCCTGTGACGTACAGACCTTATCGCCTTTCTATTCAAGAAAGACAATGTGTACGTGAAATGATTCACAATTTATTGGTCAATGGCATAATTCACGAGTCGCATTCACCATATGCAAGTCCTATAGTTTTGATAAAAAAAAGTAAGATGGAGACATTCGAATGTGTGTTAATTATCGCACAATTAATGCCAAGTGCCCTAAAGACAATTACCCGATGACTAGATCTGATCCTGATTATCATTTAGAGATGTTGTCGAGTCAAAAATATTTTACAACTTTGGACATGGCCAGCGGATATCATCAAATTCCGGTAGCGGCAAATTCTCTGGACAAAATCGCCTTAGTCACTCCAGATGGGCAATACGAATATTTGCGTATGCCGTTTGGGTTGGTAAATGCTCCTGCAGTTTTCCAGAGAACTGTCAGTCGCATTATAAGAAGCATAGACCATATTACAGCGCTTGCTTACCTAGATGACATATTCATACCCAGTACTGACTTCGAAACGGGCCTTTTAGCATTGACGAAAATATTTGATGCATTTCGAACTTATGGAGCAACATTTAAAACAGTAAATGCCACTTTTTAAAAACAGAGCTCGATTACTTGGGACATGAACTTAACGTTGAAGGAATACGACCCGGTAAAGCAAAGACCAAGGCCGTAGAGCATTTTCCAGTACCTAGAAATGTGCACGAATTCAGACAATTTGTAGGGCTTGCCAGTTATTTTAGGAAATACGTGCAAAGTTTCGCCCACATAGCACGCCATTGATGATGTTAATTTTCTTTGGGGAGAAGAACAGAAAAAGACGTTCCAGCTTAATAAAGAGAATTTAATAAATAGGGCAGGCCTTTACTTGCAATATTTAACCCAAAATTGAAAACCGAACTACACATAGATGCTTCTTGTCGGGGCCTAGCAGGAATTTTACTAAAGTGGCAAGAAGACGGAAACATAAAACTGGTTATGTATTTCAGCACACAAACTACGCCAGAAGAGCAGAAATATCATTCATACGAACTAGAAACTCTAGCCGTAGTATGTTCTCTACAAAAATTTAGAGTCTACCTTCTGGGTGCTGAGTTCAAAGTGATTACAGATTGTAATGCATTACGCACGGATGTCGAAACGAGATTTAATTCCCCGTATCGCAAGATGGTGGTTAGCAGTCCAAGAGTTCGATTTTACTGTGGAATATTGCCCAGGCACGAAGATGAGTCATGTAGATGCCCTCAGCCGGAACCCAATTGAAGACAACGCTGAAACACCTAAAACTGTAAATATACTTGAAGTGAACGTTTCAGATTTCAGGTTTTGAAGATGACTGGATATTATCAGCTCAACTACAGGATTCACAATGGAAATATTTGCTAGAAACCTTATCCAAAAACCCAATTGATGCATACGAAAAGTGTGTACATAAAGATTATAGCGTCAAAAACGAGCGGATTTATAAAGTTACTGATCGAGGTTTACGATGGTACGTCCCAAAAAGGGCTCGCCGTATCTGCAATATGACCACGATAAGCGAGGACATTTGGAAACAGACAAGACCCTTAAAGCCCTGAGTGATTATTATTGGTTTCCGAGAATGCGAAAGTATATACAACGGTATATAACTTGTTGTTCGGGGTGCTCGTATAATGAAGTACCCACTGGAAGACAAGAAGGTTTATTACAACCCATTGTAAAAGTTCCGCAACCTATGCACACCGTTCATATTGACCACCTGGGGCATTTTGTGAAAAGTAGTAAAGGCAATAGTTACCTTATAATTACTGTGGATGGGTTTACAAAATACTTATGGACCAAGGCGCTATCATCAACTAAGACGGGTCCTTTGGTTAAATTTTGTAAAAAAACTTTCACTGTTTTTGGAGTACCTTACAGGATAATATGTAATAAAGGAACTTGTTATACGAGTAAGATTTTTCAAGACTACACGAAACAACTTGGAATACGAGTGGTACTGAACGCAACAGCAACACCAAGAGCCAACGGGAGGTTGAACAATACAACCGCACGATCCTAGCTTCCCTGTCAGCAACGGCTGACGACGAGAGGAAGTGGGCTGACGACGAAAGGAAGTGGGATGACGTCATTGGTGCGATACGTTACAGAATTAATTCCGCAGTGCAGAGCGTTACAGGTGAAAGCCCACACGAGCTTCTTTTCGGGTATAAACCTAAGGGAATTCACGACGCATTCCTGGCTCATGAAGTTGAACGGAACGAAAATGTTGACAACGATATGAGTACCGTTAGAGAAGAAGCTGCACGACGAATAACGCCTGTACAGTCGAAGCAGAAAGCGTATTACGACGCCAAACGTAAAAGGCCTTTTGTGTACGACGTACGGATGCAGGTACTCCTACGCAGGAGCCCTAATGCCAACGATGGCAAAAGTAAGAAACTGCTTCCTAAGTACAGCGGTCCATACGTTGTGACCAGAGTATTCTCGCCTATTAATAAACCGCAGGTCAATTTTTGAACACCAAATTGCGGTTTTATTGGATGATTTTCCCTGATCTCTTCAGATTTCCAGTAAGATTGCCCAAGGGTTCGCCTGATAACATAACCGCAAATTATGAAGATTTTTGAGAACCGCACATGCGTTAGATCTAGAGATCGACTGATTTGCATAAGATTTCCTATGATTTCCTTAAGATATCCCCCGTGCTCTGTAAGAATTCCCTAAATTTCCTCCGTGCTCTTCAGGATTTTCCCTAATTTGTACACCAGATTTCCCTCGTGGTTTAGCCCTCGATTCGGATCAAGAACCGGGAATAATTAAAAATTGAACATTAACATCAAATCAATTTGTAGCTTCTCATTGACACAAAAGAATCAAACATTGAACGGCTTTGCATAGTTTGTAAATCAGTCAGAGTAAAATTAAGAGAATTGTTGTATAAACTTAAAAAAAAGCGATTAGTGTAAAGTCAAATTAGTTCAATAAAAGTTGTTACTGCACACATGTGTTGGAAATACATAATTTTGTTCTCTGCCACGTGTCTCACACAGCATAAACTTTATGCCGTTCAGTAAAAGTAGTAAAACGAAAGAATAAAAATATCTAGATTAAAATTTTTATATAATAACACTAAAAGCAGGTATATTATCACTATAAACTTTATTATACTGCAATTTAAAATGAGTTCTTGTACAGTAAAACCATAGCGTTTAATGCAATGACTGTAAAAATTCCTGTTTTAAAAGAACGGCTGAATGATCGACCTAATAAAAATTACTTTACCTCAGATCCAGTAACGTCCATAACAATATCCTGTCCGGTGCGTCGCCTTTTGCCGCTCAAATTAATTGGCACAAACCCAATATCAACCAGAAACTCCAAAAATTGATATTTTATGTCCGCTATTGTTTGCATTGTTCTGTAGGACAAGAAATTTTCGTTGGCAAAATTCCTCGCCGCCGCAGCGCTTTTTTGGTTCATCGTCAAATATTTCTTGTAAGCCATCAAAACTGTAACCTGATCACTGAATCCTGCAGAGAATGTTTGTTTTTTCTTATTGGCTTCGTCGCGTTTGCCAAAAGGAGATACGAACGGGTTTTTGTAGCTCAGGCAAGCAGCCATCGTCAAAGCAGCGTCTAAGCAACCAAAAATAGCTCCGTATAGCATTAATTTGCCTATTCGTACGTCTACAGGTAGAGCGGCCAAGTGGTGACCAAGCGGAGTTAGATTATCGTCTTTGTCTAAGGCCCCTACACTTTCCAATCTTCTTATGGCTGAGAAGACGTTTTCTAAAATTGGAGGTTCAATGAAGGAGCCTAAAACATCGCCAATTTCTTTGTCATAAAACCCAGGTAAAACTTTGATATTCAAAATCAATTGCTCCAAAGGTATTCTGTGCAACTCTGGAATAGGTTGCTTCAAAAATTGATGTTTAAACCTATGCCCAGTGTACAAATGCACACAAATTCCTGACCTCACTCTACCCGCTCTGCCTTTTCTTTGCATGGCATTGGCTTGAGTCACCCAAACAGTTTCTAAGCTCTCCATGTTCCTATTGGAATCAAAATGCTTTTCCTTCATTTTTCCCGAATCAATTACGAAAACGCAATCGTCTATTGTCACAGAAGTTTCCGCAATATTTGTCGAAATTACGATTTTTCTTTGACCATTTTTGGGTTTCACAAAAATCGCTGCTTGTTCTTCACTGGTCAATGAAGAGTGCAAGGGTAGAATCAAGTATTTTCCTTTGCGTTTACCGAATTCTTCATGTACAACTAATTGGTCGTATAGAGCAGTAATTTCGCCGATACCGGGAAGGAAAATTAAAATTGTCCCGGTCGTTTTTGGGTAGTTGTGATTGCCTCTTACAATCCACACAAGGACGTTTTCGATTAAGTCGTTGTTGATTTTGTCTGGGTCCATTAAAAAGAGATTTTTGCACGTTTTTAAGCTAAAATCTAATAAAAATACATATTACCAGTGTTTCTAATATACTATAACAAAATTCTTACTTTCATATCTTGCAACAACTTGTTGTACATTCAAATTTTCATCTTTAATATTATCTTTTGGTTTATTGGCGCCCAATTCGTGTTCGGCCATCATGGCCTCGATATATTCCGAGTCATTATTAATTTTTCTACAATACTCAGAACCGTCCTCCAAAACATAGCCAGTTTCTTCTAAAATATCTTCCAAAAAATACTGTTCCACAGGAAACGTTCTGCCTGGTATATCAATCAAAGGAATTTCTCCAAAATAGGTTGAAAATAAAGTCGCGTTCAACGTGGCACTCATGAGGATTACTTTTAAGTCGGGACGGAGAGGTAGAAGGTCTTTGAGTATTAATAGAAGAAAATCGCTACTCACAATAAAATACATTAATATTAATTTTTATTAAATTGAATCAAATTCTCACCTTTCTTCGCTTCTTTCGTGCACTTCATCAACGATAATGTGAGTAACATTTGGCAGTGTTGGTTCACCTTCTAATCTACGCAATAAAATACCAGTAGTGCAAAAAGTGAGTCTGGTGCTTGACGAAATTTTGCTTTCCAATCTTATTTGGTAGCCCACAGTCAAACCTATACGTTCTGCTCTTTCGTCTGCTACCCTAAATTTTATTATTGGTTCAAAAATATGTAAAAATAATAAATAAGTTGACCACTCCTTTAAAAATACAGGGTGTTTCACAAACATCGAAACAGAGGGGTTTTAGGGTAAATTTTGAGGTCGATTAAAAAAAAAAAACTGTATTAAAAGACAGGCATTGAGTTTATAAACAAAGCTTCTTTATTAGAACTAAATCAGTTATCAATAAATACTGGGGTAGCACGATAAATACTGGGGTAGCACGATAAAGACAGGATCGAACACGTATTTTAGAAATCTGATAAAAACGCAGCGCGTCACCGACGTACTACTAACTCTAATAGAAAGCGACTGACTTGACCTACTTTCTCGGTTGTCCTTTAGACCCTTGATTATCCTATAAAGCGCTCTGCGTCTCACACACCCGTTTTCATCGGAACACAGAAAATTCTTTCTCATTTAGCCGATGGCAACTTTGAGAGTGAATATCTAAAGAACTAATTATTCGATTTCCAAAAAAAAAACGCAGTTGTGATGAGAATCAAAATACTTTTAAAACAAGGTACCACTCGACCCATCTTTCCTATATCTAAGAAAGAGGGGTGAAAGTCACCACACCCCAGGGGGTGCACCCTAGCGAAATACCGATGGAGTCAAAAACTTTACCCCTTGAATACAAAATTGACGTGTCCGAGCGTTTTTTTTAAGTCGCCCTTAAAATACGCCAAAACGCCTCTGTTTCGATGTTTGTGAAACAACCTGTACATCATTGTATTGTATATAACCAAGGCACACAGACTTCTTTGAGAATTTGATTGCCCTATATAGGTAAGTTTGAGATTTTTTTACTAAAACTAATCATGGAATTCATCTCAAATATACTCTCTTGTATATTTAAATTATGATTTTTGAAATCGAATTTCTCTGACTAAAGTTTCATGAGAAGATTTCTGAGAGAATTAGTAAGTACCTAATTTTTCCAATAGGCATAATATCCCTTGAATTGTTCAGACAATCTCTGGAAATCACAATTTCCACAAAATACTATAAGAGTGGTTAACTCGCCAAACTATTTATTGAAAATATGCTCACTACGACACAAAAATTCTTACCTTTCCGCAACTCCAATGGCCGAAATTCGCCTAGGTTGTGTACAAACAATTTCCAAATGTTCGTTATTGTAATTACCTATCCATTCGTCGAGAATAAACTGAGGTACTTGCGTACTCTTACCGCACCCAGTCTCTCCACTAATAACCACCACTTGGGACTGTTTTATGGAGTTTAAGATGTCATGTTTGAGGGTCCACGCGGGCAGTTTTTTCCTCGCAGCCACCATCTGGTTGTATTTTGGGTTTGTACTTTTCTGTTCGAAATCTTTGATTATTTTCCTATCTTCTTTGACAATCTCTTCTAAAGTCAGTTGCCTTTTATTGTCCCTATTCGTAGCGCCTTTTCTATAATGTTTCGGCCTAGCTTTCCTAGATTCCAATATGATTTTTTCATTGGAGAATAATTTTTGTCTAGGGTCTAGAAATTCTATATCACTTTTTAATAGCTCCTTGATGTCATCTTCATTTTTGAATAATTCAGTTACAGTGTAAACACTGGGAATGCCATCTAGAGCCAAAGATTCAGCTTCCTGATATAATCGTTTGCAGATGTGCAAAGGCATTAAGGGTGGAAGACAAACGTTGGATTTTAAAAATATAATTGGGGCTTCATAAGGGTATTTGGAGGTTTTTGGAAAACGGAATTCTAATTCAAATAAATGCGAGTCTAAGTGATTATTAACGTTTTTTTCAACTATGTCAGCTTCATGTGAAAAGCGGCATTTATTGCCAAACTTACACGGAATGCCCATTATAAAATTTTTACACTTTTGTTTGCCTTTTTTCTCACTCACAACCTTTTTTGGTTCTTTATGGTGAAACATATTAAATAAATAATCTGCTTGTAAAGTAACTATCCAAACACCCTCAGCTTTTGCCTTGAAACTATTCTCATAAATTGATTCTAAAGAGCTTTTTTCATCCACCCTCATATCTAAAAGCTCCGCCTCACTCAACCCGTGATCCACAGCTATGTGGTCTTTAATTTTCAAATATTTAAAATACAAAAGGTGCAGCGCATCTTCGACGGAATTTTGGCAGTAGGTGAAAGCTTCCAGGCAGTGACTCTCGTGAAACCCGTAACTTTGAAGCCGCATTATAGCAAACAACTTTAAACGTTCCACTTCTTCCGAAGAACTGTCTTTAATTTGAGAATAATCACAGCCGCCTTTGACTACAAGACTACCTCGTCCTACCCAGTATTTTTTTAGGAGGTTTGATTTGGTGTCATTGTAGTCGTAAATACTGTTTAGTTTAAAATCCTACAGAAAAAAAAACCTGGGTGAATTGTTATCTTGCAGAGATTGGAAACTTACACTTCCATGGATGTATTTCAAAGTGTCTAATATTTGTTCTTGTATTGGGTCCGTTAACCTGAGAAATTGTAGCTCTTGCTTTACTATGGCTGGCTTTGGAAGATCTTTAGTAACACTAGAAAAAAAAAGGTAGTAAGGAGAGATGTACGTATTAATTTTAGAATACAAAGTCCATAGTGGCGGAATGAAATTAGGACCAGGCACAAAGTTCAATATAACAACAGAGGTATAATCCAATATAGGTGGAAGTGTTGATGTGGAAGTATTTAAAATGTTGCCAACTCTTCTAGTTCTTCTAATTACTTTTACAGTAACTTTTTAATATTTACCACATTGCATGCCGCGTCGGGCATAGCTGCCCGACAGTGATGTTTCCATTCAGGCAACCTCGGACATACAGGGTGACAATTTGAAAAGTAGCAATCGGGAATATCTCCTGGACAAAAAATATCAGGGGATTGGAGAGGGAATCAAAATGAGCAAAAAAGCACTTTTTGAGTCACCCCGCCTCCTCCCTTAGGGGGTAGCTACCTGTGGGGACTGGGAAATCAGGCAACGCCGCCGCGGCCGGTCGAGAACTAGGAACCTGTGAAGACAGGGTGGATTTATGAGTTAAGATTTGACTTTATGATTGTATGTAGTTGTGTTAATGAGATTATTCAGATTTGTGTTAAATATATTGTTACTTGTGTTACTGTGTTATTATTGGTTCAGATACAATAACGGAGAGCACCACAAGTGGCGACGAGGTAAATACTAATAATAATTAATTATTACTATACCTATTTTCCATTGATAAGACTAAGACGCTAACAAAGAAAAGAAATATATGTCTCTTGGTACTATAAAATCGATATAGACATATTTAAATGCATGTAGGTATTATAACAATAGTAACAACCATTTCCTAATTTCCCAAATTTGTGCAAACTGGCTAAATAAAGAATAAAAGGGAAAAGTTCCTCCCCATCAAATTTGCTTTGTTATTTGATCGCTAGAGCCGCTAGAGCGGTACCTGCATCCTCAAAACAAGGCGAAGGCGAAGGGCAAGGGTTGTTATTCAGGTAACTTCCCAGTGCCAGTCGATGCGCTGTTGCCTATGTGTCCAAAAAAAAAAAGCTGCACGTTGGAAAAACAAATATTTTTACTGATAGTTCGGTTTGCACTTAACAATATGTAATTAATTAGTTTTATAAATATGAGATGTCTGTATGTGCATATGTATGTATGTAAATGAATGTCTTTTGGAATAAATATTTTTATTTTAGCTACAGAGCGGATTAAATTCTGCTGTGAGGCAAACTGTGCCTATAGTCCTTGTACCTAGTCAAAGTGTCGAGTGGATTAAATTCTACTAGAGAGGGACGGATTAAATTCTGTCATACTTTTGTTGAGTGGATTAAATTCTACTATAGAAGGACGGATTAAATTCTGTCATAACACATCTAGAGTGCAAGGTAAAAAAAAAAAAACTGAAAAATATAAAAAAAAAAATAAATAAATTGATTTTAGGGTAGAAATATAACCTAAAAGGAACGGATTAAATTCTGTTAGAGCAAAACGTGCCTGGGTGGATTAAATTCTACCAAAATAAGGTAAAAAAACAAAAAAAAAAAAAAAAAAAAAAAAAAAAAAAAAAAAAAAAAAAAAATTTAAAAAAAAAAAATTAAAAAAAAAAAATCATGAAGAAATTGATTTTAGGGTAGAAATATAACCTAAAATGGATCAATCGTCAATCAAGCACTTTGCCTGCGATTCCATCGACAAGGCGCTTCTCTCCATCGAATGGAGGAAGTGGCTACGCTCAGTAAAACTCTATCTTGATGCCGAAGAGGTCACGAATGGAGTTAAGAAGAAAAACAAGCTGTTGCATCTCGGCGGACCTCAATTACAGGAAGTCGCTTTTGGGCTACCAGGGGCAGTCGTGGACTATGACCCCGAGGTAAATAATGACGTATTCAAAATCCTAGTTGATTCCCTTGATAACCATTTTTCCCCTCAACAAAACTCTTGTTTCGAAAGACATGTTTTTCGAAGCATGAAGCCTGAAGATGGAGAGAGTCTAAACAAATTTTTAATTCGATGCCGAGCTCAAGCAAATAAATGCTCATTTGGGAAGAATGAGGAAGATGCTCGTGAGATCAATGTTAAAGATAAGCTCATAGACATGTGGGCCCCTGTTGAACTAAAGAGGAAGCTCTTGGAAAAGGAGTTACCGTTGAACGAAGTAATTGACCAGTGCCAGATATATGAACAGACCAAAAATCAGAGCTCCGCAATGCAGGAGAAGAAACAACCAGAAGTCCCTCAATTTCAACTCAATAGAATTGAACAATCCAGAAAACGAACGCATGGGGAAACAAAGAAGGCGTGGGACTCGGACTGTTCGCGATGTGCTGGTGACCACAACCCTTGGGATGTGAAGAAGTGTCCAGCAATTAATGTACTATGTCACAAATGTAACCGTAAGGGACATTTCTCCAGGAAATGCAGAACTGGGAAAAACTCCCGTTTTACACCACAAGGGTCGCTAAATCGTAGACGGTTTGACTCAACAAAAGCAAGAAAAGTGAACTTCATAGACGAAACAAATGAAGAAGCTGCTCCCTCTACTAGTGACATGGGAAATTATGAATGCTTTGAAGTTGTGAACTCGGCTGAACTGAATTCAAAAAAAAGAGACGACATAATAACGGTTTCCATCGGAGGGACATCGATTGACATGCTAATAGATTCAGGAGCAGCATGTAATATAATCACTGGTCAAGACTGGAATACGCTAGTAAAAAAGAATGCCACCATGCTGGATATTCAACAAGATGTTACAAGCACCATCAAACCATATGCTTCGACTACACCCCTCAGTATTAAACTCAAGTTTAGTGCACCAATTCGCATAAGAAACGGCTGTGAACATCTTGAATCCTTTTTGGTAGTAGAGGATGGAACCACATCTCTATTGGGAAAACAAACAGCAATGTATTTGGGAGTACTCAAATTAGGATTGGGGGCTGGGGTAAATCAAATTGAGACCACCACACCTTTTCCGAAAATCCCCAACATAAAAGTGAGACTATCCATTGACATCAACATAAAACCTGTACAACAACCAATGAGAAGAATTCCCATTGCAGTGGAATCCAAAGTGGAGCAGAAGTTAGATGAAGCCCTTATTGCTAAAGATATTATTGAAAGAGTAACTGAACCGAGTTCATGGATTTCTCCAATGGTAATAGTGTTTAAGCCAGATAATGACATACGAATCTGTATCGACATGAGGAGAGCTAATGAGGCCATTTTACGGGAAAAATTTCCATTGCCGACATTTGACAATTTTATGACCAAATTGAAAGGAGCACGATACTTCTCACGCCTAGACATGGCAAGTGCATACCATCAGCTTGAATTGGAGGAAGAAAGTCGACCAATAACCACTTTCATAACGCATAAAGGATTATTTCGATACAAACGTTTAATGTTCGGTATCAATTCAGCCCCAGAGATTTTCCAGCGGATATTTCAAGGTATACTCTCCCCATGTGCAAACTGCTTAAATTATATTGACGATATTATTGTATTCGGCCAAACTGAGGAACAACACGATATGTTTTTAAATAAAGTATTGGAGGTTTTAAAAACCCATAATGTACTCCTAAATGACAAGAAATGCCATTTTAAGGTATGCCAGATAGACTTTCTGGGACACGTATTGACGTCATCAGGTATTCTACCAGATCCTAACAAAATGAAAGTGATCAGGGATTTTCGTGCACCGGCAAACAAAGAAGAAGTCAGGAGTTTTCTGGGACTGGTAACCTATTTGGGGAAATTTATTCCCAAATTAGGGGAGTTGACGGAACCTCTCAGATTAATCTTGAAGGAATCAAAGTTCAGGTGGGGACAATGTGAGCAAGAAAACTTTGAAAAACTGAAATCAGCATTGGAGAAACTACCCACCTTAGCATACTTTAACCTGCACAGACGCACACAGTTGATTGCGGATGCCAGCCCAATAGCGCTAGGAGCTGTTCTCCTCCAGTACGATGAAAGCGAACAACCACATGTCATTTCTTTTGCAAGTAAGAGTTTATCTACGGTAGAACGGCGATACTCGCAAACAGAGAAGGAAAGCCTGGCTTTGGTTTGGGCGGTTGAAAGGTTCTATTTTTACCTGGCTGGAATAGATTTTGAGTTAATCACAGACCACAAGCCGCTAGAGGCCATATTTAGGCCCACCTCAAAGCCTCCAGCAAGAATAGAACGATGGTTATTGCGATTACAAGCCTTCAGATTCAAACTCAAGTACAAATCTGGTAAATCCAACATCGCTGATCCCTTTTCAAGACTGTGTAAACTAGAAGCAGACAAAACTTTCGATGAACCAAATGAGTACCATGTACAAATGATCATAAATGAAGCCATTCCTAAGGCTCTTTCCATCTCCAAAGTTATTTCTGAGAGTAAAACAGACGTCCAAATAGTAGATGCAATCGATAAGATATCAGAAAATACTTGGTCACCAAATGATCAAAATCCATTCTACCCGTTCCGCTTGGAACTAACCCACATGGGTCCTGTGCTTCTTAGGGGAAATAAAATAGTAATACCCACAAACCTCCGATGTCACACGCTACAACTAGCACATGAAGGCCATCCTGGGGAGACGGTGATGAAGCGTCGCCTACGTTCCAAGGTATGGTGGCCACAAATAGACAAAGAAACCGAGAAACATGTAAAAACCTGTATGGAGTGCCTTCTAGTATCACAACCCAACAAACCCCCACCAATGGCGAGGAAAAGGCTACCACCGGGACCCTGGAAGGATATAGCACTCGACTACATGTCCGGCGAACCAAATCAAGACTACCTACTAGTTATTATCGATTACTATTCTCGTTATGTCGAAGCAGTGTTTACCAGAAATACCAATTCCGCAACAGTGATTAGAGCTTTGGAAGAAATCTTCTGCCGGTTGGGACTTCCACAAACCTTGAAGGTAGACAATGCTACGAACTTCAATAGTCAGGAATTTAAAAATTATTGCTTAACAAATGGAATTGACCTGGTTAACTCGGCTCCATACTGGCCTCAAGCCAATGGTGAGGTAGAAAACATAAATAAATCGTTGAAAAAACGACTTCAAATAGCTTACCAGAAAAGCAATAAAAACTATAAGCAGGAAATACAGAAATATTTAATGATGTACAATGTGACACCTCATGGGACAACCGGAAAATCTCCTTCAGAGTTGATCATGAATCGAAGGATTCGAGATAAAATACCAAGTATTGAAGACATAGCGATTGAAACACTGGACGAAGAGGTATATGATAGAGACTTAGCAAGCAAGGAAATGGGAAAAAGAAAGGAAGACAATAGAAGAGGAGCTACACCTAGAGAAATAGAACCTGGGAATAAAGTTGTCGTGAAGAACATCATATACCAAAATAAGTTAACACCAAATTTCGATTCTACAGTATATGATGTTTTACACAGAAATGGAAACGAGTTAACACTTCATGGAAATGGTAAAATCATAAGACGCAATATTGCTCATGTAAAGAAAATACCGGAGAGTCAAGCTCCATTGGTTACCACACCCCAAACCGTTTCCCCATATCCTCACACACTACCTCCAAATCCTTCCCAGCCTCAACCACCACCAGAAGATAACGAAGATGAAGACCCCAACGCAAGTCCCCAAGTAGAACCTCTCAAGCTCGTGAAAAGAGGAGGGATGTGGGGACTGGGAAATCAGGCAACGCCGCCGCGGCCGGTCGAGAACTAGGAACCTGTGAAGACAGGGTGGATTTATGAGTTAAGATTTGACTTTATGATTGTATGTAGTTGTGTTAATGAGATTATTCAGATTTGTGTTAAATATATTGTTACTTGTGTTACTGTGTTATTATTGGTTCAGATACAATAACGGAGAGCACCACACTACCCTAACGTATTTTTTACAAATAAGAACCTACCTCGTTGGATAGCACATTGCTTTGCCTTTACAGGCTTATAGCAAAATCTTAAATTATACGACTAGTTTTCAAGATGTCGGAATTTAAAAGTAAGCACATTCTGAAAACTAGTAATTTTGACTATCTTTTGAGTAGCAGTAGTGGTGGTAGTAGTAGTAGTAGTAGTAGTAGTAGTAGTAGTAGTAGTAGAAGTTTTGGACAAAATGTCGACCAAATTTCAACTTTGAAGCTCGATATCCCGGAAGCTTGACAAGTTACAAAAACCAATTTTGCAGGGCTTATAGAGAAGTTGATACTCTTTTTAATGATGCATAATTGTAGGCAATTTTTCATTGAAGATATGAGCAATTATTCATGAGCATGTCAACATTTCAAAAAATTTCCAAAGCCAAAAATGGGATTTCTTTTTGGATTTTTGTTTCAGATAGAAGTTTTCAAATGTAACTACTTAGTGTGAGAGTTGTTTCTGACTAATTTGGACTCGGTCTATCGATTTAACAAGTCAGAACTTAGAAAAATCCGAAAATAAAATTTTTCAGTTTTTGGTACTTTTTCCTAAGGGTATCCCTTTTCACACAAAATCTCAACATAAAAAAGTTTGAAATTTCATCATTTTAGTACTAAAAATACCTCGAAAAATACCTAAGTACTTTCTGGAAAACTACTGAAGGGGAAATTATGAAGCTTTTAGGAAAAAAAAAGGAAAATTAGGAGCTCATTAGGTATACTAAAATATTGCTTTTTATCACATCGATTTGTTAAATGTTGATCTGAATCGTATCTAAAACATGAAAGTTTTTGCTTATTATAGTTTTGCTCAGAAAAACCCTCGGAAAAACCAAAAGAATTCGGGCATGAAATATTCTTCTTATTCTTTGTAATTTGATTCAGCTGGTTCAAATCTGACGAATTTTTGGAGTGATGTAATTCAGCAGCATCTCTATTTTCTTGTAGACATTTCTTATGCTTTTAGCAATGGCTAAAGCATTTTCCAAAGTTAGTTTCCTAATTTCTAAATTCTACGACTCTGAATATCTCGAATTTTTGAGAATGAAGACCAAAAACATACTGATTTCACAAGAATATCAAAAAATATCAGCTAGTTATAATGGTTCTGGATTGTAATGATGTAGTAAAATGTCAAGAATAGCTTAAAATTGCATATTATCAGGTTTTCCAGGTGAAATTGTATCGCAAAGTGTATTGTAAGTCTCTGAACCCATGTAATGAAGTAAATATGCGATTTTCTCACCATTTGGGGACCAATCGATGAAGCTCAGCGATCAGCATGTTGTTTATAAGGCGCAAATCCACAACCTCTAACTTAATTTTACTTATTTGAGTCATTACTGTTGAAGGCTTTGGAAGACAAAAACCCAGTTGATGCTATCTATACAGATTTTTCCAGAGCCTTTGACAATGTTGATCATGGTTTGCTTTGTGAGAAATTGCATCAGTTTGGGTTCTATTCAGAGCTGGGATCGTTACTTGAAAAAAGTAACGCGTTACTTTACAGTTACTTTTGCTTAAAAATAACTCGTTACTTAAAATTTACAGTTACTTTCCAATAATGATAACTTTATTTTCGTTACTTATTGGAAAGTAACGCGTTACTGTAACTTCGTTACTTTGAAAGTAACCTCTTTACTTTAAAAGTAGTTCGTTACTTTTAAAGTAACGCGTTACTTCAAAAATAACTATTTACGTCGAAAATTGCGTTATTCCTTGATTTGACTCACCAACACAGCAGTCCAAACAATCAAATAAGACCTATACGAAATGCCAATATGTTTTTCGTTTGTGAGTCCGACTATGAGGAAGAGTATTCTTGCAAAATTCAAACGGATTGAGGATTAAGCGACTGAATAGAGCACTTGATTTTGGACAAACCTGCTCTTTGAAGTGTCCCAGTGTCTGCATATAGTGTCCTTAGAGCAGAGGCGGCGCGTGGTACGCCCAAAAACGATTATTTTGAGCTTTCAAAGGAAATTTTCTGTACTACCAACATTTTATTTGATGTACAAAGTTTTTGGATTACTTATGTTCCTTTTCCTCACTCGTCAATTATTTGTAAAGAAGATAAACAAATTGTGAAAACGAGTTACTTTCATAGTAACTAGTAACGCGTTACTTCCAGCGTTACTTCAGGAAAGTAACGTCGTTACAGTTACTTATCAATCAATCTGAAAAGTAACGAAGTTACCAAGTAACGCGTTACATTCAGTAACTCGTTAAAGTAAAGTAACTTTTTTTTGTCGTTACTCCCAGCTCTGGTTCTATTCAAGCATAATTTAGTGTTTTTCTAGTTGCTTTACTGGTAGAGTACAGGGTGAGAGATACAGGGTTGGTTGAATTGAATTGAATAACAAAATGCTGCTTTGATATTTAGGATATTCCGAATACTTCCGGAGATATCCGAAAAAAAAAATTTTTGAAAAATTGTTTTTATTTTTTTTAAATAATGTAGGTAGTATTTTGTAAGATCCGAGGTAAGATTGTTAGGTACATTTGATGCGGTAATCCCTCGAGTAATCCCGTCAATAAATGAAAATCTGGTATTTCAAACGCACTTAATTCACTTTCTAAGCGCATGACAGTATGGAATGTTGCTTAAAAATTGCTGAAATTCAGATAAGAAAAGTGATCCTAGTCTTGAAACTAAGTTACCAATGTGTAGGCTTACGAAAAAAAAAGGTAGTCTCAGATTTCATATATTACAAGTATATGATTTAACTGAATAACTGGATAAATTTCTCATTTATCGAGGTATTTTAAAGTAAAATATCTTGGAATTGGTTTACCTTATCTTGGCAGTTGTTGGTTCTCTTAATAAAAGGTCTGCAGCATTGATGGCTTCTTCGGAATTCATGCTGGATGGTCTTGATTTAGAATAGAAAGAAAATTTGCACAATATTTCCACAAAAATTGAATGAGAAAAGTGGAAAACAAATTGTGAGGTTATGATGTTGACGTTTAATAAAAATAAGAAAAGTGAAGTTGGCAACAAATGCTACAAGTATATTACACACTAGACAGGATAGCCTATCGGACAGTGGCTAAATAAACCTTATTACATACAGTCCTTGCGTTCGGTATTTCAGAGCGTGCTGAGCGGAGCCGTAATATCACGTGACCAGCGCACAGTGCAGTTAAACGCTGTATCAGAGCCAAATGATGAGAGCGCTTGAAATTTTAATAAACGAACGCGAATGAGCCTGAACCGAGTGAACTTTTCAAATAAACGACATGCTCGGAGAACTCAGATCAAAATACCGAATGCACGGTATGTTACAATGTTACGGTTTATGAAGAAAATTATATTAATTAATTTTGATTAACATATACCATATACCGTGGGTTCGGTATTTTGATCTGAGTTCTTCGAGCATAAATTTACCGTTCGTTTATTAAAAAAGTGTACTCAGTGCAGGCTCATTCACGTTCGTTTATTAAAATTTCGAGACCCCTGATACAGCGTTTAACTGCTCTGGATGTCTATTTTCAAAACCGGGGTATAGCGTTCTCATGAGAACGATTGCTCTGTCTTTGTTAGTGTTATGGAAATATGAATATGGGTGACGAAGACAGAACCTTCGTTCTCACGAGAACGTTTCTCCCCTGTCTCTAGAATAGGGACCCTGTGCGCTCACCGGTCACGTGATTACGGCTCCGCTCTGTACTCTCTGCTCTTTGAGCAAAATAACGAACGCAAGGATAATAGGCAAAGAGGAAGATGAAAACGAGATCTAAAGAAGAGTTGTTCTAGAATGTTAATTAATGTAGTAAAACCAAGTATGCATATATGCCTAAAGCAATAGCCCGCGGAATTATAACCTGTGGTGCAAAAGATCAGTGGGTGCAAACAGCTTACGTCAAGGCGAGAAACGACATGCTAGCTACGTCACAACTGGTGATTTGGCATGGTGGAGTTTCAGATTTGTTCCACACAGGCCTTATGAGTATAAGCTATCCTCTAGTAGTAGTGTGTATTATCCTTGCCTTCAGCGTATCCTCATATCAGAAAGGCCCATTCCAAATCCAAGAATCGTAAACTCTACCAGGATTGCTCGATCGGCAAAATTTGTTCACAATTGCTGTGACGTCACGTGCATCCCGGATTTTCAAGATGGCCGCTGATACGAATGATGTTCAGTTTGTGCTGACAATTATTTTATCGTAGATTCGGATTTATCAAGTGTTATAAGTGTAATTTAAAGTTTCATTTAAATGTGTGTAAGCAGAAAAGACTCGTGGCTGAAAATACTCGCGAAAACCCCAAGCATTTTCTGGTTTTAGTGGTTTTATAATACTGGATTTGTTGTATCAGGACATTGCTTTCTTTTATTCGTGTGTATTGCTAGTTTTCTACTGTTGTATTTCCTAGTCAAGCATTTGTATTGCTTTTTTTTTGTAAATCAAATATCTACTTAGTTGTAAGTTTCCTTTGCATGTAATTACTAAAAATTAGTGTTTGTGAAGAATTAATAAATACTAAATACCTATGTAAATAAATTCCTTTACTGGCGCGTTTACTATGAAAACGCATGGAAAATATAGGAAACTTGCAGTGTTTTTCTGGAATATGATTATGAAAATTTAAATTAAGTACTATTTGGCTTTGTGAGATAAGTACCTATTAAACTATTGAATAATAATTGAGAAGTAGGTAGGGGCAGTAAAAAATAAAACACTATTGCAGCCACGTTTCGCTCATATTTTGATATTGAAATGCAAAAATTAAACCGGCTCGCTCAAGTTGGCACCCCACATTTGTTTTTCTAATGTTTCTCAACTGTAGTCAATTGTGCCCGTTTTGTGCTCAATTGTGCCAGTATTAATGCGAATTGTGCTCATTTCCATACACAAAAAAAAAACATTGAAACAAATCCAGGGGCCAGCTTGACTCCAGCCCTTTGTTTTTTTGACTTTTTGGCAATACCTATGTTTGGCTAATTGATAAACAAAAGCAAACAAACTCGTCTTTCTAATTAGCCAACCACTCAAGCTCAAGGACACAAACTTTTGAAGTCTGCTAATTTTAAAAGGAACTGTCTAGAGTCCCGAACGCGGGATCGTTAGAAAAAAGCAAAGTCCCGAAGAGGCGTGGCTTAGGTAATAATGGCGTTCGGGACTTTCCAAAAATTATTCGAATCCCGACCTCGGGACTGTGGCAATAAATAAACTCCCGACTTATAAATTTATCAGACAATAGAAAAACAAGAAAGTAGCAAAAAACAAATATCGTGTATTTCTAGTAGGTAAACAAAATGGAAAAGCAACTTTGACATCTCATTTTGTAGATCTTTTCTTTTTCTTTTTCTCTGGCAGGCCTATCGCCGTTAAATTCTTGCCTCTAGGTCTGCCTCGACTTTCAATAGGGTTCTGAAATTTGTTTTCATCAAATTGCAAATATATACCAATTACGATAAATTAACACTTAATTACACTGGTAAAAAAATATTTTTCAGTGGGATTTGCTCTTGCCGGTCGCTCTATATTTTCTGTCCTATTTCACCTTCGCTATCTAACTGTTGATCTTGTTTATCCTTGCTGCTGCTCTGCTTGGTGCCTCATAAGTTTCAACAGGGGTGTTAGTAATTATTAGCTTATAATTTTCCAACTGCTGATCTTGTTCATTGTTCATCATCCATGTGGATCTCATAAGTCCCAACTCCCAAGAGGTATCAACGACAACTTGTTCATGATTAGGGATTATTTCATATTTCCATCTTATATCAGGTTTATATTCAACTGTCTTGTATAAATTAGGTTCATGATGCTTCGAGGATGTGATAGTTTTTGCATCCCGTTTGAAAAATTGCACCCTATTTTCTCTCTCATATAAATCAATAGCATCTTGTAATTCTTTATATGAACCAAATGTGTCATTTGCATTCAACCCCATGTAAAGGATACAAATTTTCAGCAAAAACTTCCCAAAACACACAGCAGTTGGCTAATCTAACCTAGATGTATAGGATAGACAAATACTATATAAACAATTATCACGAATTCGGGAGTTTACTTTTGTTACCATGTTCCCGAATTCGGGATCAGAACATTTTTGGAAAGTCCCGAACGCCGTTATTAAGCCACGTCTCTTCGGGATTTTGCGTTTTTCTAGTGATCCCGCGTTCGGGACTCTAGACATTTCCATTTTAAAATTAATAAATTAATTACAAAATACAGTTTTCAAAGGAAATAACCTCAAAATATAGTAGAGTTTTCCTAATCAGTGCGCAAAGTTCTGTTTTCCCGCACGCGAAAGCAGTTAGACGAACGACGCGAAGCGGAGTTCGGATAAGCTTTAAGTGCGGGAAAACTACTTTGCGCACGTGTTAGGAACAATATTTTTTCTACGATGAGTGAAATAACTATACTTCCTTTTTAAATTTTTTATTTATAGGCATCAAAAACAATTTGTTGTAACTAACTAGGTAGATATATCTAAATCAGGCCACTCTCCGCGGGGCTTTGCTCCCTAAAAAAGGGGGCCCGCCCAGCTCAAAAAAGGGGCTCCCGCGCCGCCTCCCAAATATGGGGCTCTCGCAGCCAAATATAGGGCACCGCCCTCCAGATATAAGGCTCTCGCGGGGCTTCGCCCACCTAAAAAGGCCCCCCGCGGGGCTTCGCCCACCTAAAAAGCCCCCCCGCGGGGCTCTGCCCCTCAAAAAAGTGGCTTCCGCGGGGCTCCGCCCCCCAAATATGGGGCTCTTGCAGGGCTTTGCCCCTCAAATAGGGGGTCCCCAGATTTTATTATAGGTAGGTACCAGAAAAAAAAGTGTGCAGGAAAAAAACATTCCTGCATAGTGTGCGCAAAGTAGTTACTTTGCGCTCACTTTTGGGAAAAGGCTTCTTTGCGTACGCAAAAGTGTGCGCAAAATACTTACTTTGCGCACACTCGTAGAAAAACAATTTTTCACTGTCATAATGAAACACAAACCGATCAAGAACTGCGTGACGTCATTCGCATACCGTCATCTTCGATGTTTTTATGAACGTTTTTCTTATGGGATTGAGCAATCCTGTAGAGTTTACGATTCTTGTTCCAAATCAATCTAGTAGGGAAGTGGCACTTCGCGCTTATTCCTTTCGAAAAGTGTTTGTTGCACCACGCATCTCTTGTCTTGCTCTCAAATCGGGTCGACTAACACCGGAGCGAGTAGTTCGAGTGTTCCAAACTGTTGGAAGGAATATAGTGCGCCAAGTGAGTGAATCTGTGTGGAAGGAATGCGGGCAAAACGCTCCTGATTGGCGCGAGATTAAATATATATATACGCGGGTCGTCGCGTCAGGGTAACCGCAATTTTCGCAATGCACCATGTCGCAACGTTTGTGTCCCGAGGGCCTCCGGCCCGAGGGACACCAATTGCCCGTGGGTATTAACTCCTGATAATTCCCGTGGTACATAGATAATTTTATATCCTACTGAATTTACTGTATTCTGTCTATTTTTATAAAGGAATAAGCCATAAATCAAAATTTCTATTTTTTGTCAAAGTGTTACCTATTCAAGGTAAAAGCGGGAGTTATGGAAATCCTTAACTCCCTTCCTTAACTCCCTTGGGAGTTATGAAAATCCTTAACTCCCTTGGGAGTTAAGACCCTGTTTATGATTATCGTAACCAAGGTATTATATGGTTTTAATAGTTCAGTAGGATATAAAATAAACAACATTGTCCTAGCATGCGTGCCGGAGGGTCACTTCGCTACCAGATTGATTGAGGATGGGCCTTAAGGCGTGTAGATCAAATTTCGATCCCCCCACCAGCCGCCACGCCAAAGTACCAGTGATGACGTAGACAGCGTATCGTTTTTTTTTGACGTAGGGCTTTTACACTACAGGCCTTAATTCCGCTGGCTTTTGCTTTATGCATACCTGGTTAGTATATTAACATTCTAAAACCATTGTTTATATCTTGTTTGCATCTTCCTCTTCGTCCAATATATTAATCAAAATCA